ACTCAGGATGTTAAAGGTTGTCAGCAGGGTAAGCCACAGGGTGACACTTAACCAGCTTGTTAATATTCTGGTTGACAGGCACTTGGACTCATGTGAAAAATCGGCTCAATCCATTTTATCTATCTAACTCACACCACCCCCTTCATTCACAACTCTCCCCTTGTATGTCATCAGGCAGAACCAGAAGCCTATATAGAGAACTATATGCTCGTACTAGTAAGTACAAAAACTCAGCTATACCCTACTTAGCTCGTGTTCTATGCGATAAAGAAGAAAGCATTAGACGTGATACCTATAACTTATTAAATAGTCAGTAGAACAACTGGATCTAGTCTTTCCAACTCATACCATTTATAGGTACAACGATTTTCTTTCTTTCCTTTCCTTTTCTCTCTCTTTTTTCTCTGTTATGTGCAGCTTTGTTTCTTTCTTCCTTACAAACTCTATTGAAAACATTCTTCTCCGTTCTTTCACACTCTGTATATCTCGACGTTTTTGTTACCGCTTACACCAGTAAATATGCTAGCATCTACTTTTCTAACACCTTCAAACATTCTGTTCACTTTTAGCTGTGCTACCGATATGCTAATATATTGTTGTCATAACTAACTGAGATTACCCTTAATCTATGTAGAATTTTATTTATTGATAATGTACTAACTGGATGCAATACTGTAGTAAAATGCTGAAAATTCCATTCTGTATCACAAGTACTGTTTTGGAATAAAGCAAATTATTATTGTTAATTTTGCTTGATCTTGAAATAAGCTGAAACTGGCCTAATTTTTTTCATTCCCATGCCATCTGAGGTTTGAAGTTTCAACAATTGTGGTGTTGTTATTTTAACAAGGTGCGATTTACAGACCTACGCCCAACTTCCTCCCTTTAGTCGTCTTACTACCATCACCTAGGCGAGGTTTAGGAGTGTATCTGTTATAACTGTAGGGAATTGAATGAAGACGTTTCCACCTTATTCTGTCTGCGCCTGAACTAATCTGCCTATCTGCTTGTCGTACCTTCCGATTTGGTAAAGCACGCAAATATCAAAAGACAAAGGCTGGACTGTGACTGTGTATTGAAGTGCAACAACGATAAAGAAAGCCATGGTATTTATACATTTTACAACAATATGGACAGCTAACAGCATTTGAAATAATTTATCTTAATAGCCAATAACAAAGTGCGTGAGAGATGATAATATACCATATATACAAAATTAGCAGTCAATACCAAAATATGTGGGATCCTATCACCTCCCCCCGTAAAGAGTGTAGGACTTGCTTTTTGGATCTATTTGAAAAGGTTTCGGAGCTCTTCTTTGTCGAGTTGACCTTTGCGTGGTACTGGATAGAGCGTGATCTGTGTGTCTGACACATAACTGTCCTTTTTCATTCGTACGATAATGCAGCAAGAATTTATCCAAAATTTCTTCTGTTGTTCCCTCCCCCTTCGCTTTTGCATAAGCACGCTTAAGGTGTCGACGAAACGTTCAGTCTGTCCATTCGATTGGGGATGATACGGGGGGCTACGAATATGCTGGATGCCAAACAGTTTGCAGCAACCAAGTTTGTCCTGGAAGACAGAAGCGTGCTTTTGACGACGGCGTTGCAAGAGAGATTGATCAGATACATCTCCGGGAACAACGTTGTGTGGTGAAGACGAAACATTAGAGCATACTGAATTTAATGGTACATTAAAGATATGGAGCTTGTCTAACCAGTCAAGACCAAGCAAATCCAAATCATGGTAGTTTGTAACGTAACATACACCATTGAAGTGATGCTCACCAAACTGAACCTGGCAATTTATCTCACCCACGAGTTTCAGTATATCTCCAGAGACATTCTTGGCGACATGCTCGGTCGGCAGAATCTGTGGGCAACCAAGTTTGCGCCACGTAGTTCGGGAAATTACGGTGATATCTGATGCCGTATCCAACTGAAGACGAATACGTTTGCCGTTAATATCTAGTGTTATGTACTTACGTTTGCTGGCGAACTCGACTTTGGAAGTAGTGAAAACGGTCTGTACTCGAGGAGATTGTTTCGGCTTGAAACGACTACTTCTGTTCCTCACCGAAGAATTTTTCTGCGGTGTACAGTAACCCTCCTTATGTCCAAAACGGTGACAATTACGGCATTTATGTTTCTTGAAAGGACAGAACTTGACAAAATGCCACGAACCACAGTGCCAGCACACTGAAGGAGGTTTAGCTGAATTTTGAGACTGACGTTCTGTGTGCTTAACGGTGATCGGAGGACTTTTCACTGTGTTAATCGAACCAAATTCAGACGACTGTCGTTTGCACTCCACCATAGCAGTATCGTGCTTCAAGTTGATTAAACGTAGGCATTCTGCTGTCACCATTTGTAAAGTCATTTTCGGGTCTTGTTCCACAAGTGACAGAAGTCGAGTTCGTATGTCAGTATCTTCTGGGTTCTTCAACCCACAAATAAAAATCAAACACTTGAACTGATCTGATGTCATTTCGTGTGGTTTGAACCTTTCACATTCCTTGTTCACTTTGCCAGCGTAAGTCACATAATCATCGGAAGGCATTTTTGTCAACTGAAAACATTGATACCGAATATTAAACATGGATGACTGTTCACCAAAGATTTGTGATAAAACGGTGACTGTCTCATCGAATGATAACTCACGTGGGTTCTTGGGCAGAATGAAGTTAACATATCTGTTGTGCTCAACAGTACCAAGTTTTCTTAGTAACAATCGGACTTTGGCAGCATCATCAAACATGTAGCATTCAATACGGAAGACGTCTTCGTAACGATTGAACCATGCATCAAATACGAGACCAGATATTGGGTCGTAGTTGAACTCACTGATAGAATTTGAGATGCTTTCATATTTGTCAGAATGAGATGTTGATGGAACTTGAATGGACAGCTTCTGAGTGAGAGCTTCGATTAATTTTAGTTGAGCTGCTTCATTCTGAACTTGCTGCTGCTGCAAGATAGATTTGAGATCGTCCAGAGAGATAGACATTGTAATTGGGTTGTAATTAACACAGTCAAAAATGTTATATAGTTGCGCTGAACAGAATAAAAACTGTCGTCGTTTGCTTGCTATAACTGCGATGAATTAAGTAAAACCCCGTCGCCAATTTGTTATAACTGCACTGAATTAAGGTAAAACCCCGTCGCCAATTTGTTATAACTGCACTGAATTAAGGTAAAACCCCGTCGCCAATTTGTTATAACTGTAGGGAATTGAATGAAGACGTTTTCACCTTATTCTGTCTGCGCCTGAACTAATCTGCCTATCTGCTTGTCGTACCTTCCGATTTAGTAAAGCACGCAAATATCAAAAGACAAAGGCTGGACTGTGACTGTGTATTGAAGTGCAACAACGATAAAGAAAGCCATGGTATTTATACATTTTACAACAATATGGACAGCTAACAGCATTTGAAATAATTTATCTTAATAGCCAATAACAAAGTGCGTGAGAGATGATAATATACCATATGTGCGAGGTTGACAGTCAGTAACAAAATGTGTGGGAATGATAATATACCATATATACAAAATTAGCAGTCACTACCAAAATGTGTGAGAATGATAATATACCATATATACAAAATTAGCAGTCAATACCAAAATGTGTGAGATCCTATCAGTATCCGCCAGACTACGTGAGTGTAGTTAGTGTGTTGATGATGACGATGACATGTGAGTGGCATTCGACATAAATCGTCCGCAAAGTTTGGATCCTCCTCTGTCTTCCTATTCCTGTCTTCTCTCTCCCCAAGGTATGTTGATTGATCCAGTCCTCCATAATCAGGAATATCATCGGTGATGGTCGACTGTAGCCTTGGCTTACTCCAATCTTCAATACAAAGGCTTCACTCAGCTTTCTATTGTTAATCATCTGACGTGCGACATCATCATTTAACTGGTGAATAAAAAGGATGAATGTTTGAGACACTCCGTCGTGTTAGACATTGAATGGGATTTCCTTTCCCAGTGTATCTTAGCCGAATCAAATCTGTGTTTCGGTAATAATTGTAATTTTCCACTTTATTAATGTAATCGGTTCGTGGTTAATCTTGAAATCAATAGAATCCTTCAACGTTACTCTGATATTGACTTGTTAGTGACTACAAGATGAAGTGTGAAGTCGTGACATCCGAGATCCATGAGGTCAATTGTGAGGACAACTACTTGCAAATGATACTGACTCTTGGTTGCTCTATACTCTTAGTTGAGTTGGCCATTAGATTCTGTCCCAGTTGGTGGATGGTCAACGAGCTTAGCTTGTAACCAGATGGTCATAAGTTCGATACCCCTGGCCTGTTAATATGTGGGCGCTGTTGATGATACCCAAACAAGGATGAACTGAAATCAAGCAGTTCGTGCTTAAACTTATAAACAATCAGATATTTCTGCAAACCAGTATCTGAAAATTTCCAACATAGTTTTCCGCGATCGACCTTCTGTTTTAGACGCCTATTAAAACTCTTATCCTGAAGGACTAACCTAATGAAGTGGATAGCGGAAAAGTGTTAAAAGGATTTAGCTAAGCATGAGTTTTTTATCGTGAGAAAATCAAGCTGGCAGAGGGGAGAGGGGAGTAATTTCGACTTCATTAACTTAAAAGAAAAAGCAAAAAATAAAAAAGATCAGGTGTTTTTTTTGTTAACCACCCGCGTCGTTTATACCCCTAACTATATTTAAGGACCAGTATAAGACAGACAATGTAATTACTTCATCTGTAGTAATTGATCAGTTATACAAAAGGGGTGGGGGAGGGACGAATGGACATTTGTTGCGCAAATGTTTTAGTCAATTTATTCCATTTCAGTAGTATGTCTTTATTTAGTTTGGGTATCTCCTTTTTATGGTGGGAAGATATCAGTCTGGTTAATATAATTCGATATTGACAATTATAAGTAAAAATGTCAATCATAGAGACTCTTATGTTGTATGTAAGTTTTATGTGGTATTATCTAATTACAAGATGGATATCTACCCATATAGGTGGTTGGACGTATGTTTACAGCTAACTATTGTACGCTTAAGTTTCGTAATTCTTTGTACTAGTTAGGCGTAAACTGCCATCTCTATCCTGCCTGATTTCCTCCACGTTACATCCGCTGATTCACGCCCAACTCATCATTTTCCACTTGAGTTCCACTTGAAGGTCTGGCTCGTGATGTCACTCAACAGCTTTCTCTGAGTGTGTACGTTTAGTGCATCTCAAATTTCTTTTAGCATATTTGTTAGGCAATGAGTTGCTTGTTGATTCATTGCTAGAGTTATTTGACTCCAATTTTTTATAGACACGTGCAACACATCTCCTAGCCATCTCAATCGATTCACTTCTTCGATTGACTTCTGTCTGTCTGTTTTCGACATAGAACTTTGCACAAATGTGCGGAAGTTCAAGTCGCCACACTCCGTGTAGCGCGCGAAGCAACAGAAGAAAGTACAAGAAAAGCATAATAGAAGCAGTGAGCAGAGGTGTGAGACAAAGAAGTAATAACGAAGAACAAAACAGTTTCATTGGAGATCATAAGTCACAGGGAGTGGATGCATCTGCGCCACTGAAAACGATTTCGAGCCATGTCACCAATTGTTTCCAACCACAGATTTTTACCGTCCCGAGGACCCCAGCCAGTCAGGAAGTCTACACCTTCCTACGTGGCTTAGACCAACTGTTGTGGATTTCATTGACTGATGCCACGTCTTTGTTTGACCGCCGCTAGCTTTTTCCAGCCTGACCCTATATCCGCTAACATTGCTCGTCGAGGGAGGTGATGGCTTGGCATACGTAACACATGTCCTAACCATCTCAGTCTTTGTAGCTTCACGACTTCGTCGATTGATTTCCCCTGTTTACCTAGAACTCTACGCCTAACCTCCATGTTGCTCACCTTATTATGCCACTTTACACGGGAAATAGAACGCAGGCACCTATGATCAAAGACAGCCAGTCTTTTCATGTCTTCCACTCTCAGTGGCCAGGTCTCACAACTATAAAGGAGGACGGAGCGGACTGATGAGCAGTACACCCGCCCTTTGCTCGATAGTCGAACATCTCGTCTATGCCAGAGTCGGCGTAAACTAACAAATGCGAAACGAGCCCCTTGTATTCGTGCTGAGATTCCGTCAGAGATCAACCCGTTGGTACTGGCTGATGGTACTTCCCAAATAAGTGAAGCGGTCAACGTGTTCTACCACTTCACTTCCTATTTTTAAACAAGGCGTCGATGTAGTCCAGTCCTGTAACATCATCTTGCATTTGGCGGGAGCGAATCGCATGCCAAACATTCGTAGATTGCGGCTCAAGGTGTTTAGAAGACTCTGCATTTCGTCAGCGTCTTCGCCTAGAAGGACTATATCGTCTGCATATTCCAAGTCAACGAGATTATTCCCCGGTAGCAAGTCAATCCCTGAGTCGCTGAAGTCACCTAGGGTTAAGTCCATTAACACATCTATGATGAAGTTGAATAGAAAAGGAGATAATGGGCATCCTTGACGGAGACCACTGGTCGTCATCAGTTCAGATGACAGCTCGCCGTAATCACTCACCTGGCTGTATAAGTACGAGTAGAGTGCCTTAATCAGTGCAATATATTTTCTTGGAATTCCCTTTACAGCCAAGCATCTCCGGAGAACTTCCCGATCGACAGAGTCGAATGCTGCCTTTAGGTCAAGAAATATAATGACTGTTGGACGTTCGATTGACTTGCTCTCTTTAAGTAGCGTTCTACGCTTCAAGTGGATATTATTATTCATTATTATTCCCTTGGGTTACGTGTAGAACATAGGGCTAGCTTCAACAAAACAACATATCTTCAATGTGTTCTATTCTTTGTCGTTTCTTTCAGCTGACTGGTCCCACAACTACCCATAACCCCTCATCTCCTCCATGTTACCCTTGCACTGACGAACCGCTTGTCGCTTTCTGTCGGGACTCCACTCGAACAATGAACTGCACTACAGGCGATGTCATTCGAACTCCTCCCCAGTAGCGTATGTCCGATCAATCCATCTCTATTTTCCCCCACCAATTTGTTGAACAATTGTCTCTTGGTTTGATTGATCCAATGCAGAGTTTCTTGTTGTTAATTCTTACTGGTTGGCTGGCCATATATAAGATGTGACTTAATATTTATGTCGAAGATCCGAATCTTCTTCTTTATACTGAGTTACTTACTCCAGAAGATTTCCAGATTGATTTCAGGTTGATGAAGGTATATCTTGCCTTTCCGATTCTTCCTGGTTGGCATTGACATCTACATCTGTGTTGTCCATCTACTTGTGATTGAGACGACGCTTCCTAGCCAAATAAGTGGAGAAAGTAACCTCTGTCAAATCTCTCCCGTTGATGGTGATTGGTGCTGTTTGTTGTTGTTGTTGTTGATGGTTGGTGGTTGGTTATCTTTATCAACTCCGTCTTCTCTGCCAGCCTCTTATGGCAGCGTTTTGGTTTTCAAGTTTGTGTGTGTGTGAGTATGTGACATATAACACATATCATCCGCTCGCGGAATCCAGATCTTCTAGAGTCATCTTATCGGTCAGTGCAGCGTATTTCTATCTTCTCGTTTCTCACACACACACAGTCTGGTGCATAATCCAGTCAACCACAGTTCGGAATATCATCGGTGATAATATTCAGGCAGTCTTGGCTTAATCCTGCATTCACTTCGAACGCCTTGCTGCGTTTTCCGTTGTGGATTGCCTGACACGTGGCATTGCTATATATATATAGCTGTTATATGAGGTTGATAAAGACTTGAGCACTGCACGCAGTATTATTGAAGCAGTTTCCAAATTACTTCTTTGTCAACGCTCTGACAAAGGCGATTTCGAAGTCAATGAAATGAAGGTAGGGATTTGACTACCATGATGATGCGTAGAGTTGCAGTTTTATCTTCACATGAACTGCTTTTCTTGAATCCAGCTTGTTCCGGTGTGTGATGGATTTCTGCAACCAGTGCGTCTTTTATTCTTTCCAGAATGATGTAGCTTAGTATTTTACTTGGTGTGGACAATACCACTTAATAGGAGATAGAATACAAACGTTCATGTCCAAAGACAGCTAGACTTTTCATATCTTCTACTTAAGCGAACAATCACCATCGTTTAAATTTTTATATTTTAAGTATTTCGTGAGAACTCAGCTATCTGAAAAAATCTTTCCAGGAACTAGGTGAACAGTGAGCTACACAGACTTACTGTTTCAGATCTAACAACACACCCCCAACAGCTTTTAGGTTAGAGTATTTGAAATGGGATTCAAATCTCGAGAACTATGATCATTGTTAAGTTGTTGAGTCCTCGAAAGTGAATTTCCCATGAATTATGTTATAATTTTACCTTCTGACAACACCATGCGTCATGATTAATTGTCAATTTGCATCAGTATCGATCGTTTTTATCGACTTGGAATTTGACTTTGTTTTATCTTGTGGCTTATATTTCATTAGTTGATAAACTGTGATCTATATCATCATATATGTCTCTTGATCGCTGATTATTTTGAGTACCAGGAATCTAGAAATTTTCTGGCATATATCGTGTTTTTTTTTGACAACTAGTTTATAATCTTAGGTTTGGAATCGAAAGGGGCGCTCGTTTTCAACAGTATAGTACTTATCACATACACACACACACACACTTCACGCAGTTTATTCTGTAGGTAATGTGTTCATCTTGTCTTCTTTTGCTGTCGGGTAGATCTATAAGTCTGCATAGTATCGGATGAAGGGATTGTGTGTTGCTTTATGTGTCTGCCAAATCTGTTCCCGACGGTTTTTAATATTCTAGCTGTTATTGAACCCCATCAATAACTTTCTACTTCCTATTTAAGTATTGGTTTGTAGGGATTTGAGGGATTGGTTACAGGATTTCGTCATGAGCTGACTAACAGCAGTTAGAGAGCCATTGGAAAACCAACCAGGAGTACTGGACAGCTAACCGTTTCGTCCTAGTTTGCGACTCTTCACAGTTGGCGCCCACCGTGGTTCGATAATCACCTGCTGTAGCTGGTCAGCTGTTATTCCTTTTCTTTCTGAGTGTGACGTAAGACTTCAAGATTCAGCTTCGAAATTTCAGGAATTGCAGCAGTGTTTTTGTTTCTGAGTGGGTGCAGTCGCTTGTCTTGCACCTTACCTCTTTACTGGGCTTATTGCCAGCTAGACAAGAGCCCATCGACTGAGAATCTAACTCCAGACCACGTGAGATGTGATTGGCGAGTATTCTGCTAAAGAAACACAGACGCTGGTCAAGTCTGGAAAAATTTACTCCATCGAGTCGTAGTAGAATATACATTACAATGAGGTTGGTGAGCGTTGAAGCCCGAAACTATGTGACTAGTTAATTATTGTTATTATAAATTATTATTGCCCCCTTGGGGCTTCAATAACATGTCTCCACAGCACACATCCCCCAGTTGCTTATAGTGTCTCATCTCCTCCATATCACATTTGGATCAACGCCAAATCCTCGTTTCCCAATTCGGGTTTCACTCGAATGATGGTCTGGTACTTGATGTCACCCGACAATTTCCTCAGCGTGTGTCCAACCTATCTCCATTTTCTTCAGTATATTTTCGAAAGGTTCTTGGTTTACTTCGTTCGTGAGACTAATCATTAAACTAGGTATTAATTAGCCTAACTTTCCTAATCGGGTAATGCTTTTTTCTGCGATAAGTACGTCTGTTCTCACTGTCTCAACCAGGGTGTTTTTATTTCTTTGGTTTCTTGGGCTGTAGATTGGTCTAAAAAGGGTGTTGGTTTGTCTGTCTGTCTGTTTTCGACATAGAACTTTGCACTGATGTGCACCAGTTCAAGTCGCACACTTCCTCCATGTAGCACACAAAGCAAGAGAAGAAAGTATAAAAAATTCATAATAGAGACAGGAAACAGAGGTGTGAGCAAAGGAATAGTGATAACGAAGAACAATGTAGTTTCATTTGCTATTATAAATCACAGGGAGTGGATGCATCTCCGCCAGCCATTTGGAACGATGAGTTT